TGGTTGCTCAACGTTGGTGCATGTCCTGGAGGACAGAGTTGCTTGTCAGGGGGCACAGAGGCCTGGGCTCTGGCAGCTCCATGTCTAGCCACCCCGGCTCCAGCACCATGTCCTTGTTGGGGGCCCTGTCCCCACTGGAATGCTGGACAGTCTCTGGCCTGTCACCCCAGGGCTGGGCCACCACCCTGAGGCACCAGATACCCCAGCTGGCTCCCAAGGCCCCCCAGCCCGTCTTCAGCTGCATGCGGACGTGTCCACATGCTCAGGCTCCCAGGTCGGGGATTGTCCCACCGTTGTCCTGTGTTAGCCCCACAGTGGGCTGTGCTGGAGGGGAAGGTGAGCGGCACGTCCTCCATGTCTGTGAGCAAGCGCGGCGTGTGTGCCTGTGTGTGCGTGTGTACCTGTGTGTGCGTGTGTGTGTGTGCCTGAGCGCCTGTGCGCACGTGTGCCTGTGTGCACGTATGTGTGTGCGTGCATATATCTACATGAGTGTGTTTTGTGGGTACATGGATGCACATAACGTGTGTGTGCTGGCTGCCCGGCCCCTGCTTCTCCCGGGGGATGAGCGTTGCTGTGTGTACGCTAAAGACGTTTGAGGTTCCAGGGAGCATCTGAAACACTAAAACTCTGAGCTGAGGGGTGTGCAGCGGAGGTGACTCACTGCTGACCTGGCTGCTTGACCGGCAGGGTAAACACTCAGCAGGAGGGTTGGAGAGGACATGGCCTCTGATTCAGATGCCTCAGTGTTCTGGACACTGCTGGGTCCTGTGTGAAGCCTGTGTGCGTGCGTCTCTTTTCTTGTCCGTGTTCCCGGTGGCCTTTACCCCTTCCTCACCCGCAAATCCTCCTCCACACCTGTGAGCTGTTGAGCTTGCGTGGTCCCCTGGCTCCAACCCGGCCACCAGGCCTCAGGGTTTTCTGACTCACTAGCCCTGTGTGTGGCAGGGGCTGCTCTCCCATGCCCACCGTGCCCTGGGCGTGGGCACCTGCCACCTGGCACCCCTCTGTTGACACTCTTTGGAGCCCTGACGGTTCCTTTCAGGTGGTGGTTCTCGGGCAGAGTTATCCCGCCCATCTGCTGTTTGCTCTGGCAAGGCTGAGTCTGAGCTGCTATTTTAAACCCGGTTTTTCAAGTTTAGGACCTGCCTGAGCTATGAGCCCAAGACATGAATTCCCCGGGGCCTGTGCATCTGCACTTAGTGGAGGCCAGGGAACAGCCTGTGGCCTCCTTCCAGGGAGGGGGTCCCCACTCCATGCTGTCCCTCACGTGGGGGAGATGGGGTGGAGAGAGTCATGGAACCCAGAAATCAGACACAGCCCTGGCCAGCTCACTGGCGCTCAGGACCTTCCCGAGCTTGCCTTCAGGACCCAGAAAGCACAGTGGAGGAGACAAGTGAGCGTTGGTGCGGATGCCAGGGGCTCTCTGTTGTTTCTCGGGGAGTGGGGCTTGGGACGCAGCCCTGCCCTTGCCCCCTGCAGCCAGCTCAGTGCACCCAGCAGCGCTCCAGGGGTCCAGTGCCTGGCAGGGGCTTGTTCACCCACCTACCACCGCCTCGCATGGTTCGTGAGCATATGGCTTCTAGCAGCTGCTTGTAAAACGCAGTTTAAAAATTGCCTGTGTGGGCTGGATGTGCAGCCACGGGTTTGCAGCTTAGAGCTGAGTGTGCGCACGGGCTGTGTGACCGACAGCACGGCCATGGCGGGGGGGGGGGGGGGGGGGGAGGCGGGCCTGTCAGTGCGGGCAGCGGCCAGGGGAGACTCCGGGGTGCTCTGAGTGTGTCGGCGGCAGGGGGGAGCAGTGGCCATGGTTCCTCATGAAGCTTCACGCACCTTTCTGGATGTCAGGAATTCCTTTCCTAAAGGAATTGCTCTTCACCAAAGTTCTTAACTGTTTTCAAACGTTTTCCTTGAGCTAGTTGCACGCAGAGTTTTTAGGAATTACATGTTTTTCATTCGATCTTGATGTTGACTTATTGTTTTGGGGCCCAAAGTGTGGCCGATGCCGTGGGTGCTGCCCCAGTGGGGAGACTGTGCTGGACTGCGGCTTGCTTGTGTCTGACTCACAGACTTGATGGCCCTCGCGAGGGCTATGGGGGCAGAGGGTGGGTGTGTGAGGGCCGTGCCCACCGGGCCACGTTCTCGGGCTCTTCCCCACGCTGGCCAGACCTCGTGCCCCGTGAGCACTGCCCCCCTTGGCCTCAGTTTAACCGATTCCCACATGCCCACGGGCAGAGAGCTGGAAGGTGGGTCCAGGGCCCCTGACACAGGTAGACCCCCGTGTCATAAACAAGACCCCAGATGTTTTCCCCACCGCAGAGTGGTGGGTGTTTGTCCTGGGAAAGTTCCGGAATACCAAAAGCACAGAGAAGCAGAATCAAGCTGGAGCTGCCACTCTTGGGTCTTAGACGGATTCTGAGCATCTGGAGCTAAGACCTGTGGGTCTGGGTCTGCTGTGGGCGCCGCTCCAGCTCCACGGGACGCGTCCCCGCCGCACACACCAGAGCGGGAGTCAGAAAGTCCGAGGCGGCCCCCAGCTGTCTCACCCCAAGCAGGTGCCGGTGGGGCTCGTGGTCTGTCACAGGCAGGTGGCGGCAGCCTGGCCTCGTCCCCGAGACCACCCTGGCTACTCGCTCCCCTTTGTCTCAGTGGCTTCCCTCCCACCAAGGCCGGCAGCCGGGCTCCTTTGTGTCACCTTGTGTCCCCTGTCATTCTTGGGCTCTTCCCTGACACATCAGACCCCCAGATTCGGGATTGGGTAAGAGGACGGTCAAGGCCAGGGGAGACTCGATCTCTCCTGCAGGGGCTGGTTAGCTCATCTCCCCGCCCCGTGTGCGGTTGGCCACTGACCACATGTGGTCACAGCTCCGACCCGACCACAGGAAGCCACGGCAGAGGCAGGGCCTTCTTCCCAGGGCCGTCCACGCTTGTCCTGTCCCATCTTGGGGCGCCATCAGGCCCAAGGTCAGGCCTGCGTTTGGAGCAGGTGCAGGAGTAGCTTCGGGAGCTCGGGGCACTGACGGGCGTTCCCCGGCTGTGGTTCTGGCACGGGCATCTGTGGCAATTCCGCCGTGCGATGCACTCAGCACACGGAGCTCCCGGGGTCTGCCCCTGCTTGTGCATGTCTCCTCCCTCAGACTCCTGGGTAGGACGCAGCCCAGCCCCTGAGCTGCCTGTGTCCACAGGGCTGCAGCAGACTGCCTGAGGGAGGCGCGTGTGTACACACTCCCTCTCACACCCACACACACTCACACGCCGTGATGGTGGCACTGGCCCTGCCCGCAGGCCAGGCCCCAGGGGTCTGCGCTTACCCGAGTGGCAGGCCTGAGGGCGTCTTTGCCCTACATGGGCTCAAGGCTAGCTGAGGAGGAGGGACACGTCAGCCTTGCACGGCCTGTGGCAGGACAGTGGGGTCTCAGCCGCCAGGTGAGTCAGCTCCTTGGGACATGCTGAGTCCCTTTCCCTCCCCCCGCCCCCGACAGAAATCTGGGGCAGAGCAGGTGTTGGACACGTCCTGGACGTTGGACACTGGACACATCCAGTGACACTGAGAATCAGACAGCAGAGCTCAGGGCCCTGCAGGGCGGGGTTCCGCTGGCTCAGGTGGAGCCTGGCGGACCTCAAGGCCCTGCTGACCGATATGTCCGCGGTATGGTTCCTGGTCACAGTCGAGGCTCAGCGTGTCCCATGGGCGTCACGGAACAGCCAGTGACCAGGAGAAGTGGACCTCCCCAGAACCCTGTGGTGCCTCTGGGAGGGAAAGTGACACCGGTGAGGCCATCCATGCGGCTGGCAGGCAGTGCCACCCCATCAGGGTGCAAGGGCCATGGGACCTTGTTTCCATTTCTAGCTGGCCTTGCCGGGGGCCAGGGTACCCCTCGTACTGCCCCCCAAGAGGGTCTCTGGGTCACGTGGCCCAGGGGTGAGTAAGGAGAGCGTGCTGGTGTAGGCAGCACTGCAGGGATGGGGCTTGTCGGAAATGACCACCCTCGAGGGCAGAGTGGGTCCCCTGCTCCGTCATGTCCGCAGCACGTGGACAGCATTTGCTCCGTGAATGGCGCCGAGCGAATACTCGCCGTTCGGATGAATGCAGCCCGACTGTCCATTCCAGCTCTTCTCTCCGAGGAGACAGCTATTTGCCCTGGGGAGGGGGTCCTTCCCGCCAGTGTTGCGGGGCTGCTGGGCAGCCCTGAGGGTCTCGGGGCGGGTGTCCTTGAGTGGCCTCTGGCCTAGAGCTTCTGTTTCCTGGGCCCTGACTTGGGGGTGACCATGCTGGTGTCGTGGGCTGTGCAGCGACCCTCCCTCCACGACCACAACCTGAAACGCTGCGCACCTGCTGATCCCAGTGACCGTGCTCCAGGATGGCAACTGTGTGGAACCTTCCGGAGCTTTGGGAGGAGGAGGACCGAGGCTGAGCCCTCCCCCGTCCCTGCTCTGGAAAAGATGCCTGCAGAGCTGGGCCTGGCGCTCCCGTTGTCCCTGGAGGCCCTTGGTGAGGCCAGCCTGGCGCTGTGCACCTCAGGAGCCTCCTCGGGTCCCTCCCGTCTGGGGCCCACAGCCAGGTCTTATCTTGGCCCCACGTAACTCGCATGGAGGGCATGGGTGGTGGGTTTGTTGGGCCCCTGTGCCACCTGGGCCCAGAGTGGGTGGGCCGGCCACGGTTGGCGGCTACGTGTGGGAGCGGGACGTGGGCTGAGATGTACGTGTGCTCATGGGCTCACTCATGCGCTTGAGCTGTGCGGACAGAGGGGCTCCCAGCTTCTTGCCTGTTGTGAACCTCAGCTCTTACCCACCATCCCCAAAGTCGCCCAGTGGTAATCCTTGTCATTCTAGAATCTTCCATCTTGTCTTCGTGTTACCAGAAGGAACAGTGTTCTCTCCCCTGCCCCCGGTGCCCCTCTGCCTGCTGGTCACCCGCTCCCCAGCCACGGAGGGTGGAGGGGCCACAGCGCAGAGTGCTTAACTTTTCTCTCCTCCTCTTCCCCACCCTCCTGCTTTTCCAGGAGACGTTCTCTTTCAGATGGCCGAGGTCCACAGGCAGATTCAGAATCAGTTGGAAGAGATGGTGAGGCTTCTGGGGAGGAAGGGGCAAATGCAGGGGGACAGGTCAGTCAGAGGTGAGGAGAAAGCGGGCTGTGTGCTTTGGCCATGTGTCCATTTGGGAACGTTGTGTCACCGTGTGGCTGCACTCAGAAAGATGGGGACAAATCCCAGGCCCGGGACAGAAGTCACATAATGGGGAGGTGACTCATCGTGGGGGCCAAGGACAAACAGAAGCAGCCGGGAGGAAAGGGCGCAGGCCACACGGGATCTCATACTCCACGCAGGGACACAGGGTGGCGGGCCTGAGGAGCACACACGTGCCCAGATTCCAGGCCCAGCCAGGACCCAGCAGGTCTAAAGTGAGGGGTCACTCGGGCCCCTCCCAGTTTGCTCGTGTCAGCTTGAGTAACTCCTCAGCACCGGAGAGCAGAGGGGGGATGGTGGGGAGCAGTTTCTGTGTCTGCCCTGGGAAGCCGAGCCCCCGACGGTGTCCGAGGCCAGGACAGTCTGACGTCCCCACTTCTGTTCAGCGCTCGTTCCTGGAGCCTTCCGGCTCCCCAGGCCCCGCCCGTCTGTGCAGGCTCATTGGCTCAGGGAGCAGACGGGCCCCTTGTCTCTCGGGGTGGCCCGTGTCTGGGGCGCCGTGGTGACCGTCCACCTCTCCTAGGAGGGCCCCCCCCACCCGCCTCGTGCCCTGGCCTGTGTCGTACTCACTGCCCATATGTGTTCTCTCCATGTCCAGCTGAAGTCTTTCCACAATGAGCTGCTCACGCAGCTGGAGCAGAAGGTGGAGCTGGATTCCAGGTACCTGAGCGTAAGTAGCCAACACCTGTCTGGTCGCCCGCACTGCTACTGCTCCCCCTCACACTTGGCATCTCTCGGGTGGTCAGCTCGCTGCGAGCTTCCCATCCTGCAGGTTCCCTGGCCCTCCCCGTGCCTGCCCGTCTGGGACTGAGCACAGCGTGTGGGCGAGGCCGGCTCATCCGGTGCCCTGCACGCCCAGTTCTGGTGCCCCCACAGCTCGCCGCCTTCCGTAGTGATGATGGCACGGCGCTGCCGCCCCGCAGAGCCTGCACAGACTCCGTGTCTGTGACCTGGAGGCCTTGGTGCCCCGTCCCTATGCCATCACCTGTCCCCAGGGCCAGAGGGGCCCGAGGTGCTGTGCTCTGTCGGGGCGTGCGATCTATGTTCACAGGAGGCGCCCTGACTCTCGGTGACGGGGGAGGGGGAGAGGCCCAGTGTCCGCGTGTGGGACCATAGGGCCGCCGCAGGAGGGTGAGGCCTGGGTCAGCTGTGCTCCCCCCTCAGCCTGCAGCCAGCTGTTGCCGGCCGCCCTTGGGGCCGGGCTGGCTGAAGCTGCGCAGAGAGCGGGAAGGGCCGTCGGCTCATGGGTCGGCGTGTGGCGTCTTTGACTCTCAGGCCGCGTTGAAGAAATACCAGACAGAGCAAAGGAGCAAGGGTGACGCGCTGGACAAGTGCCAGGCTGAGCTGAAGAAACTCCGCAAGAAGAGCCAGGGCAGCAAAAACCCGCAGAAGTACTCGGACAAGGAGCTGCAGGTAGGACTCGGACCGGCCGGTGCCGCAGGGCCACGCGGGGCCTGCTGTCGTGACACCGGCGGCCCCTTGAGCGAGCAGTGCCGAGGAAGCGCTCCCCTCCCCGGGCCCTCTTGGTGGACCTGGGCAGAGCCGGGCTCCGTTCTCCTGGTGGTTTCGGGGCAACGAGTACGTCCCATCCTAGAGCTGGCAGATGGCCAGCATGGTCCTGCGGCCCCCCCTGCCCTGCTCTCGGAGCCTCGGTGGGGCGCCGGAAGCCTTGCTGCCAAAGGAGCAGAGACCCCAAGGACGTCTTCTTGCTCTGTCTTCTGGATTCTGCCCCCAGGACTGGACCCAGAGCCTCCGTAGGGCGACGCTGGCCGGTCGGGCGTCTCAGCAGCCCGAGAGGCAGATGGCACGGGAGGGCGTGGGAGGGCCCGCCCTGGTGTGGCCTCCCTCACCACTGGGCCCAGCATTGCAGACACCGTGTGCGGAATGGGCCAGGGATTTGGGACAGTGTGGCCCCAATACACCTGATTCACCCGAGCCCCCTGGCCAGTTGACACAGATCAGGCCCATAATACCTGCTGCTGCCTGAGGCCCCGTGTAACTCAGATAAGGAGGAAAGACAAAACAGCTCCCCAGCCGCTTCGGGGGTGGGGGGAGCCCCACGGGGCCGGGCACAGGCGTGAGCCCCTCATCTCCTGAGTCCCCACCCTTGGTGCCGGCTGGGTTGGCAAGCCTTGAGGTGCGCCGTGCACCCCCGCTCTCCCCCACATGTGTGTGTCTCCCTAGGTGGGGCATGCACCCTGCACCGTCCCCGAGCGCGGTGCCGGCGAGCAGCCCACCGGGTCGGGCGCAGGGGCCTGGCAGCATCAGGTGAGAACCGTCACCTCGCATGCAGAGCACCATGGCCTGGTGAGGGCAGCAGGGGTGCCAGCTGTCCGGGGCAGCAGTGGGACCGCGCCCGCCGCTCTCAGCACGCCTGTCCCGCGTCAGGCGCGTTCTTATGCCATATGCTCTTGTCTCCATCACACCCAGTGACTGCCCCTAAGCTGTCACCGCTCTGGAGGCCTGTGCCCCTGAGGCTGTCCTGGGGGGGCCCTTACAGGCGGAGTCAGATCTAGAAGTGGGCCGTGAGGCTGAGGGGGAGAAAGCCACACTTCGCTGGATGTCTCCGTTTCATGTCCCCCCCCACAATGTGTTTTGCCATTTTGCTCCCTGAAAGCTCGATCCTGAATGGCGCCCCTGCCCCCTGGAGGCCAGGAACCCCCTCGGCACAGGTGTGTTTGCACCAGAGCTCCCTCTGGGGGGCCCTGGGCTGGTCGGGTGCTGGGGACACACAGGCCGGCTCGTCTAGGCTTCAGCCACCTGCCAGGAGGGGCTGGGAGCCTGCACACCCCCCCCGAGGCACTTTTTTTTTCTCTTGGATTCAGCTTTGAAATATGTTCACGTGCCATAGAAGGGACAAGGGGCAGCTTTGCGTGTGGCCATCCGTACGGCTAAGCCGCGGTCCCCACGCTCCATTTTAGAGGGTTTCCAGCACCCCAGAAAGGAAGATTCTGCCTGTCAGTGGGCAGCCTTCCCCCCCCAGGCAGCCAGTGACCTACTGTCTGCAAGTGACTCGGCCCAGTCTGGGCATCGCGCGTGAACGGAGTCACCACTGTGTGGTCTCCTGCATGTGGCCCCTCGCACTCAGTTCTCGAGGTTCATCCACCTTGTGGCCTGTGCAGTGCTTCCTTCCCTTTTATGGCCGTAAATGTGGAGGCTGTGTCCTGAGCGGGGCCTGGGCCCTGGACCAGCGGACCTGCCCTGTGACCAGCCTGCTGGGGGCCATCACGAGCACACTTGTAGCTGGAGGGTAACGGTCGCGGCAGGATACTGGCTGGCAGGTCCTGCGCCGGGGGGGGGGGGGGGGGCTGGGTGGAGGCCAGACACAGGGGCTGGCAGCCTTGATGGCATTCACTCCTGCTCCACAGGGAGCCTGAGATTCCGTGTCTGCGGAGTCTAGAGACTGCTACATCTGGCTCCCAGCCGCCCATACCCCTCAGTGCTCCCTGCTCCGCTCTGGACCCTGGGCCTGCAGAGCCAGAGGGGGGGCATTTGCTTCCTTAGCTGGGCAGGGCCGGAGGGGGACCTGGTTGGGGCTTTTCATGCACTACTCTTGCTGTGCTGGAAAATTGGAGGCTCTTTTCTCCCTGCACGGGGTCTCCCCACAGTGCCCCAGTTGGTGAGCTGGCCACGTCCACCGTGGCCTCCTGGGGCTCCTCCTCAGAGATGTGCGACTGCTCTTTCTTCCCACGTCTGAGGGTCACCCCCTGACCAAGCCCCCCCCCCCCCCCGTGCCCGCAGCACAGCCAGGTGACGTCCCCTCCTCCCTGGGCTCCGTACAGCAGCACCTATCACCCACCGTGTGGCTTGCAGACGCCCCCGGCTGGCCCCGCCCCACCTGGGCCCTGCTGTGAGGCCCCAGGCAGTCAGATCTGGATTCGCACCCCGGCTTTGTGTCCCTTACATGGGGTGTGGTCGCGGCGGGCTCCAGTCGCTCACTCAGCTTGCCTGCCCGTTTATGAGGTGGGGTCTTTCCCTCCTCCCATGCTGACGCTGACCTACTGGGATTCCCCTCCCTGTTTCGTGCACCTGCTCAGAACCTTCTCCTCTGGCCAGCTTTTGGTCTTCTGCTTCTCCAAACCCCTCTTCTTTCTCTGTTGGACCCATAACTGTCCAAGGGTTTTATTGTGATTGCCCCCAAGTCACTGAGCTCCTTCCAGGGAGGGCTGGGTCCTGTGTCGCACACGTGTCCCGTGTGGTGCCCAGCCTGGGGTGGCCGCACCGTGACAGCCAGGATGTGCCCAGTGAGTTCAGTTTCCTTTCTTGAGGGTGGAAGGCAAAAGCACTGTTGAACCAGCACGTAGAACTCCAAGAAGCCGGGCCAGGACATCCTCCGAGCCCTGCGCCCGCGTCCGTGCTGGCTCGGATGGGCTTCCTGGTGCGCTCCAAGCTGGCGGGAGGCCCGCTAGCCACCTGTCCGGGGTGGATGTTTCTTTTTTTTTTTTTTTTAAAGATTTTTTATTTGTTTTATTTATTTGAAAGAGAGGGACAGAGACAGCGAGAGAGAGCACAGGCCAGGAGAAGACGGAGAAGCAGGCTCCCCACTCAGCAGGGAGGCCGACGCGGGGCTCGGTCCCAGGACCCCGGGATCATGACCTGAGCTGAAGGCAGTCGCTAAACCGACCGAGCCACCCAGGCGCCCCCGGGATGGATGTGTCTGACCCGCCCAGTGGCCCTGCTGAGATGCCCGCCTGCCTGGGTACCTTGGGCCCCTTGGCACGTGGGGCTCTCCATGCTGGTGGCTGCAGGCCTTGCCAAGCCAGCCAGGAGGCAGGGTCTGACTTCTGCTTGGAGGTGCAGCTGCCAGCCTGGGAGGGCCACGGGGTCCTTTTGGAGTGACCAGCCTCCTTCCGCACACTGCTCCCTGGGATAGTGGTTTTTGCCCTAGAGCTGAGGTCCTGTTGGAGACTCTTCCGTGAGGAAGAGTAAGGCCCTCCTCTGTCTCCTTCTCGGTTTTCTGGCGCGTCTGGCCCCGGCTCTCCCACAGTCCTGCGGGCCGTCCCCGTGGCCGCGTGTACCATGTGCTCCCAGCTCTTCACTCCTGCGTGTCCCCCTGCGCAGTTTGCAGGGGGCTTTAGCATTGTCCCCAACCCTGAGGAAGAGCTGGGAGAGGCAGATGGGCCCACATGGTGTTATAGGGACGGGGGTGTGGGATCCCGACCTGTGTGGGCTCCTGGGGCTGTACCCTTGGGCTGAGAGGAAGGAGTAACGACCCCAGGGAAGGGGAGTGACCTGGGCTCCAAACAGCTGCTGGCCTTTCCCCTGCTCAACTCTTGGGGGCTCTCCTCTCCGCAAGGCCCCTCACTGGGGGCAGGGGAGGGGGGCCTGGGCCATATGCCGCCTGGTGGGCTATGTGTGCAGGTGGAAGCAGGTCCCGCAGCCCATGACTCATACGGGGGCCCCTCCCGGGGGTCCTCAAGCTGCATCAAAGCCTCTGCCCTGATGGGCCCCTCCTGGCAGAGCAGGTGGCAGGTGGCATGCCCAGACTGCCCGAGCCTGGGCGACTGGCTTTCTCACGGGAGGACGCTATGGCCAGGAGGCTCCAGCATGTGGTTTCAGGCATGGGTTTGCTCAGTGCCACGGAGAGGTGGGTTGTCTCTCATGAGACTCGATTGCTGGGATCCCCTGTGTGTCTTCTAGAACCCCCAGCCCACATGTCCTCCCTCCCAGACTTGAGTTTCGTGTGTGCAGAACACTTGCTGGGGGAGAGTGGTGAGGCTACCTGCCGGGCAGGGGCCAATGCTCAGAGCTCCTCGGGCAGCTCTCTGCCCTCCGAGAGGCCGACTGGTCAAGGGCGCCCACACACCTTGTCTTCCCCCAAGGCCCCTGAGCTGTGCGGCCAGTGGCCAGGCTGTGCCAGAGCAGGGGGCCCTGCCCATGGAGTGGAGCTGTTTGGGGTGGAGGAAGGTAAAGTTGATCAGACCTGCCCCAGAGAGAGCAGAAGACCAAGAGTGTCCGTTTGTCCATCAGCGGTGGGCTCCCTGTGAATGGGACTGGGTCAGAGCTAGCCATTTTCAAGAACTGCCGGTAATTGAAACTGTGTTTTGGGATTTCCATGAAGAGAACTGATTTTGATTATAGGTCAGGCAACAGGCGCTCGGAGGCATTTGGGGCACTAACTAGGACGAGGGCTGCGTCTGGGAGTAGGGAAGGCACTACGTGCTGTCCCCACAGCCAAGCCAGACCTCCAGCTCCACACCACCCGTCCGTGTGGAGGGCGCCGTAGGGCACGTGGTCAGTGGGGGACGTGCTGCGTGTCTGGCGGGGTGACAAGCCTCGTTTGGTGACCCTGCCCCTTTGGCCCTCGGCATGTCCGCTGGGCCTGTGTCCCCTTCCCCAGGCACGCAGTGTGAGCGGTTCCACTGTGGCCTGTGTCAGGGTTCTCCAAACTTCTGGGTGATTCTGAAGAGCTG